TCCTCCCTAACTGACAGCCCCACATTACACCAACAACACTGGTCCTATCACCAAAGGGCTGCCCAGAGAGCTCAGGCGGCCTTGGGAAAAGTCCATACTCCCAGGTCATAGTCTTCTGCTATTCAAATCATTTGGCCATTTCGTGGGTGGAATCCAGTCCAAAGTTCCCGGGGTCTACTCTTTGTATTAGTTTAAAAGAAAGTATATTTATTAAAACACTCACTCATTACACAAAATAGAAGCAATTAATATAGTCATTGAAATTCACTCCAAAATGCAACAAACCTCAGTGAAAACAAGTTACATTTGATTGTTGTTGTGTGCCATCGAGTCACTTCATACTCACAGTGACCCTGTATGACAAAGCAGAATTGCCCCGTAGGATTTCTTAGGCTGTGATCTTTACAAGAGGTCTTTTATACCACGGAGCTGCTGGTGGGTTCGAGCCACCAACCTTATGGTTAGCAGCCAAGCGCTTAACCATTGTGCCACCAGGGCTCCTTTACATTTGATTAATGTTAGGCAAATCAATTAATTCAGTCAGTTGGCTGAATTTTTCAGTTTTCTACAGGTTCTTTAAAAGATATTTAGCAAACTAGAGAATAACTTAATCCATGCCACCTAGAGATTTTAAATTATTCAGAGGAATATCCAACTATATTTAGCTGGATTTTATTTAAGACTTGTATTTTGAAGAAAGGAAGGAAGGAAGGAGGAAAGATGTGAGAATTGTGATATTTGACCCAAAATTGAGCAAATATGATAAAAAGGCATATTCAAAGAAATTAGAATTTTAATTAGAGAAATTTAACTTTAATTAAGGAGACTTGGTAGCACAGTGGTTAAGTGCTAGGCTGCTAACCAGAAGGTTGATGGTTCGAACCCACCAGCAGCTCCGTGGGAGAAAGATGCGGCAGTCTGCTTCTGTAAAGATTTACAGCCTTGGAAACCCTTGGAATTATGTGCATTTATATCCGTTTCCTTTACCAGACCTTGAACACCTTGGGGCAGTGACTTCTCATTCTTGGACACTGGAAGTGTTCCATAATGACTAGCGAACAAATAGAAGATCAGCCACATGGCTAAAGCACTCGGAAGAACCTGAAGACAGAAGAGAACATGCAAAATCATGTTGCTCTCTGATCGTATGCAGCATGTCCTCTGTTACAACCTTCCCCTACTCTTCTATTACGTCTCCTACAATCAACAAGACAGATACTTATAATTTTCTGAACATACTATGTTATTTCACGTATCTGTCTGCCTTTACTTAAATTTTCTAATTTATACACATACACACATACTCTGCTTTGGGGAGGGTGGATTGGCAAAATCCTACCTTTCTTGTAAGTCTCACTCCGTTCAAGTGTCATTTTCCCAAAATCTGGCATCGCTCTCTATTCTCCCTCCTCCCAAAGTAGAGCTGGGTGTCCCTTTTCTGTGCTCCCACAATATCCTGTCTCTTAACTGACTGGCTAGTTTAAGCCATGCTTTCCATTTCTTCAGAAAAAGATAGTGATTGATACCCAAAGCAAATTGAATATTCATAGACAGTAGGGAGCTCTGGAATGCCCAAACAGGTCTGAACCCCCACCCCGAACTGTATACTTACTGAGATCGCTTGTGTTTGTTCCAACACCTATTTATTCCAGTTGTAATTGTTAGTGTAATTAAGTAATTTAATTAGATGTGACTTAATAGAATAGTATACAAGTGAAATAAAGAGCTGTGTTTTCTATGAAAATAGGTGGATGCTTTGGAAGATAAATTGCTAAAAAATTGTACTGTTGAATTAGGTGTAGGCAAGACAACAGACAAAGATGGGAAAGTGTAAAAATCTTGGTGGAATCTCTACTCACATTGTTTCTTAAATGCCCTTAATTTCTAACTCCATGTTGCAGAATCCCCAACTGGAAATTATTGAAGATGCATTATGAGAGTGGTTTATGGAACTCCCACCAGCAAACCCATACCAAAATAGAAGTTCTTGGCCCCAAATCAAAATATTGGTGACTTGTGTGTGTATTTTAAGTCAAAATAAAATGGCTAAGGTGTGTATCATTTTTACCTGTTCCAATCATGTATTATATTGAAATGATACTGGAGTGGAAGAAGGAGGTAGTCTTTCTCCTTCACTAGATTGTGAATGTCTTGAAGGCAAGGATTATGTCTTGTTCATCTTGGTAGTACCTGTGCCTGGGAAGAAGAGTGTTTGGATCACAGAGAACCTTCACAAAGTGCTTCTTGACCCAGATTATTTTTGTACCCAAAACCAAACCCATTGCCAGCGAGTCGATTCCATAGGGCTTCCAAGGAGTGGCTGGTGGATTCAAACTGCGGAGCTTTTGCTTAGCAGCCTAGCTGTTAACCACTCTGCCAGCAGGGCACCTATTTTTGTACAGGAGGGTTCAACTATTAGGTCTCTTTAAGCATTTATGCATCACAGCCACTAGGGGGCAATGTAGCAGCATTCCCTTTGGAATGACCGTTCAGGGAAGGTGCCTCCAATGTTCTATAACCAAGCTAAACCCATTGCCATCGAGTTGATTCCAACTCATAGCGATCCTATAGGACAGAGTAGAACTGCCCCCGCAGGGTTTCCAAGGCTGTAAGTCTTTACGGAAGCAGACTGCTACCGAGCGGCTGGTGGGTTCCAACCGCTGACCATTGGTTAGCAGCTGAGTGCTCAACCACTTTGCCACCAGGGCTCCTAGCAGGGATGGATTACCCAATCAGCAAGGTAAGCACAGGCTTATTTGTGCTTGCTTACTAATCTGTAATGAACAATTTCACATGGGTTTCTGGTTAATCCATCCCTGGCTCCTACCTTGCTTGTTTGTAATGCATGGATAGGGAAACTGAACGAATGAGCTCAAAACCCAGGTGTAAACAATCATATATTTCTTTTTCAGGAAGCAGTCCTTAGGGATTAGCCCTTAACTTCCTTCTGTTTCAAGAACATGGCTTTTTAGAGGCAATTTGAAAAAAACACAGCAATTATGCAAATTGCTATTTCTCCATCCACACTTAATTTACCTTCTCTCCCAGGGCAGGATCTGGCAAGGTCTAAAGTATGGTTGGAACTGATATAAAAGAATTTTTCCAATGAAATAAGAACAGGATGTTGCTGTTTAAACTTCACATAAGTTCAAAACGTGCTAGTTTGTTTTAGAACAGAAACTCAAACCCAGTATTTGCCCTCTAGCTGCTCACATTTGAAGGGAGTTGTGGCAGCTCATACATTCAAAATGAGTAAGAAATATCCTGACCTATCAAAACTGTATAAACATGCAGGCTGCTTTTTAAGTTTCTTATTTCTGATTTACTTCTCTTTCTCATCTTCCCATGGAGAAGGACAGTCAATGAATAGTCAGATCTTCAGGTACCTCTCTGGAAAGCCAAGAGTCTTCCATAAATACAATTAGGTAGGAAAGACCCTACCCTCACCTCCCTTCCAGAAGTACAATTAGGTATGAAAGAAATGCCCCCTTCCTAACCTCCTTAGAATAACTAGCCCTTTCACAGAAGGACGGCCATGTTTGGAATGAGATGTACGGCCCTTCTGTGTCTCCTTGGTTCCTTTGAGGGTTCTGTCGTATTGATCAGTTTGTGGCATTGTGCAAGGAGTTAAGGAACAAAAGAAGTGTGAAACCCAGTAACTCCCTAAAGGTGCTTGTCTCTCAGCATGACTTCTCACCTTATCTCTGCCTGTCCCTGACATTTGAGTTCTTCAAGACAGTTGTCTCCTGTCCTCTGCTAATGCCTTGGAGACCTAAGGCCCAGGTCATAAGACTGTGAACCTGTGCCTCTTCGTTCTCCACTTCCACAGAGCCCATCCCAGTTGCTGAACACATAGAAGTATTATAGGGATACTTTTTAATTTTTTTTTATTGTACTTTAGGTGAAGCTTTACAGAACAGTTTCTCATTACACAGTCAGTATGCATACTGTTTTATGACATTGGTTAACAACCCCATGACATGTCAACATTCTCCCTTCTTGACCTTGGAGGATTTTTTTTTTTTTATGGTGAAAATATACATAGCCAAAGATACACTATTTCAAAAATTTCTGCATGTACAATTCAGTGATGTCGATTACATTCTTCCAGTTGTGCTGCTATTCTCACTATCGTTTTCCAAATTATTCCATCACCATTATCTTCAACTCACTGCCCCTATAGGGATACTTTCTGAGATGACTGAAACAAGTTACTGGGCTACCATTGGCCATTTCCTGGGCTAGCCTTACTTGACTTTGTGAGGAGGGGCAGTGCCTCCGCCGACTTGTCTGTAACAAGAGGATAATATTCCGAGTTTTAAAACCCTTAAATGGATTCCTGGCTCATAGGGCGAAAGCAAGTGGTTTTATTATCGTCATGTCTGATGACTCTGGTACAGCAAGCTTGGACTGTGCAGGCTGACAGCCTGAGTTTGAATCTCCTTATCGAGAATACGGCCTGGGGGACGTGCCTCAGTTGCCTCATTTGTAAACTGGGACCTGCTGCGGAGGGTGGGGGGTGGAAGTGGGTAGGGGAGTTGGTGCCCTCTGAGGTCCATGCCAACAAGCTTGGCAGTTCAACCATCCTTGCCCTTAATTAACCAAAGCCTCACTCCTAACCTCTTGGTCCCAGAAGCAGGAAGGTTTCTTTGAAGAGGCGCGGGGGTGGGCAGGACTTGGGGGGGGGGGACGCTCTGGGAGCCACCCAGGATAGGGAGGGCGAGGGAGGACGTGACCCCGAGCTCCGAGCCAGGCGTGTCAGTCTGCTCCTCGGGTCGCAAGGTCCTGCCTCCGACCCAGGCGGGCGGAGCGCGCTCCCGCGAGGAGGGCAGATGAGGGCCGGGCCCGGGACCCCGCCCAGGCGGCGGTCGGGTCCCCGGGGCTGGGCACTGCTGGCGGAGCCGGAGGGGCGGAGAGGAGCGCGGCGGGAGGAGGAGTAGGAGGAGGGGCTGGTCAAGGGAAGTGCGACGTGTCTGCATGGCCTTTTTATACCTCCTTCCCGGGAGTCCCGCAGCACCCTCTGCCGCCGCCGCAGCCATCCGTGCGTCCTTCCGTTTCTGAGGACCCGGGCTCCGAGTTCCAGCGCCTCGAGCACCGCCGCAGCTAGCCAGCCAGCATGTCGGGTATCAAGAAGCAGAAGACGGTAGGCTTCGAGTCGCCTCGCCCCGACCCCAACCTTGCAGCACCCACCCCCAGGGGCAATTGGGTCCAACCCCCCGCCCGCCCTCGGAAGGCGAGCGGCCGCGGCGCCGAGGCTCGGGCACCGGGAGGAGGAGGAGGAGGAAAAGGAAGGCGCCCAGGCGGGAGAGCTGGAGGGCGAGGCTGGATCGGAGATTCCCGGGGGCAGCCCTCGCCGGGCGGTCTCTCCCCGCCCAGCGCCTCTGGGAACCTTCGCTCGTTGGGGTCGTCACGTCCAGGATAGACAGAGCTTCCGAATTTGCAAATGGGTCCCGACCAAGAGGAAGGACCAGAGATAGGAAATTTTCTTCTTCTCCAAGACCTTTTCCAGACCGTCTTTTCTTCTGTAGGATCTCAGCGCGAGCCGAGCGGGTGGTGGGCTGAGCTGTCATCCATTCTGCCAGGTCTGATCGCTGGGCACACGTCAGAGAACAGTCATTGGGGTTTTGTCCATGAAACTTCCTTCGAGTGGACTCTAATGACAGACTTTCACAGAGCAAATTGCAGTTGTCTAGGTTTACTGGTAGTTGCATTTCTACACTTGTAGGATTTAACCCTGCAGCTTAATTCAGCTCCCTGGTGGCATCGGGTGGTCCCTGGAGCTCAGTAATGGTGTGTGTTTGTGTGTGTGCTTAGTTTGGCAAAGTAAGGTGAGAGGACTGTTTTGAGACGGCTCAGTTTTATTTATAATGAATATGGGCGAGCTCCTTAAACGGAAATATGAGGGCATGTCAAAGAGCAAAGTTCCATTCCCATTTAGCAGCACCAAAAAACCCAAAAACCAAACCCATTGCCATCCAGTCGATTTCGACTCATAGCGACCAAGCCTATAGGACAGAGTAGAACCGCCCCATAGAGTTTCCAAGGAGTGCCTGGCGGTTAGCAGCCAAACCTTAACCACTGGGCCACCAGGGCCCCATTTAGCAGCACAGTCTCCTAAAATTTTAGCAACCTTAAAAATGAAGGCGGTAATCACAGACTCAAGAGGTGGAAGGAGCCGTATAGACAGCATTTGGGCCACTCCAGACGTGGTGGGTAAGCTTTGATAGGATCCCAACCAGCAGTTTGGCAGCTGAACACTCATCTTTAACTATCACACTGCAAGCGGTACATGATTGTGGCGGTTATTGAGTGGATTGAACTTTCTCAAATAATTAGAATTGTACTTGGCACGTAGTAGGTGCCCAATAAATGCTTATTACTATAATAATAATAATAACTTACATTATTATGTAATGCTAATCACTGAAATACCTTTGAGGTATATTTGTGGCGGGCTGGAGGAGAGTTGGAAAAAAAACAAGAAGTAGAGTAAGAGAGCGGAGGGGTCTCGCAAGGTTTACAAGCAACTGCTTTAGCAGCAAGGGAAAGCGGAGAGGGCTCTTTGGCTTCAGGGGACCACACTGGACCAGCTGGAGGGTCCAGGAGGAAGGCAACATCCATCTGGGCAGGGAGAATGGTCAGGTCCAGTCGCCTTTTATAGAAGTAATTTTAAAGTGGGGGACTCTCGGTATTGTAATTTTTTTTCCCTTTTTTGTTTATTGTAGTTTCAGTGAAAGTTTACAACTCAGGTTAGTTTCTCATACAAAAATTTATACATACATTGTTATGTGACCCTAATTGCTCTCCCCACACTGTGACAGCACACTCCTCCTTTCCACCCGATTCCCCATGTCCATTCAACCAGCTCCTAACCGTCTCTGCTTTCCCATCTCACCTCCGGACAGAAGCTGCCCGTTTAAGTCTCATGTATCTACTTGAGCTAAGAGGCCCACTCCTCATGAGTATCATTTTATGTCCCACAGTCCAGTCCAATCCCTGTCTGAAGAGTTGGCCTCAGGAATTATTTTAGTTCTGGGTTAACAGGCAGTCCCGGGGGCGTGTGTAATATGTTCTAAAACATTTCATTGTTAAGTGAAAATCATTTATGCTTTATTCCTATTTTATTTGATTAATTTCTGTAAAATCCTAAATGGTGTCTTCTAAGAGCCAAGCTGCTGTGGCAATGGCTTTTTTATATCAGTAGGGTTTTAATTCTTACCTGCTTGCTCACATCAAGAGTTACTTCCCAGTTCTGGTGGGGGCTTTGTTAAGCACTAGTAAGGAAGGGACAGGTGGCCTTTCCCCCTCATGCCTCCCGTCAGCAGAAGCTGGCCAAGTGGTGGGTTTGCCAACAGGTGCTTTACAAACTAATGAGAGATTTGCTGGCAGCAGGGTTTGGTCTTTGTATTTACACGTTTTGAAACTTCTGTTTTTTTCTTTGGGGGGTGTGTGCGTTTATGTGTGTATGTGTGTTTTGAAGCAGATTCTCAGGCCCAGACTATATAATGAAGGGTTCTGAATAGGATTAAATTAACACCTGAAACAGCTAACAGGACGTCTGAATTTTTATTTAGCCAACACAGATATAATCCAACACCAAGGTAAGTTCCCAAAAGGGCCAGGCAGATAGAACTGGGTAAAGCAAAACAGCCATAAATGCATATGAACTCTCTCCAGTTTTAAAGATTGACTCAAAATGTTTTTGGAATCTTGTACATCAAAACAAAACATGTCCACACAGAGGTGTGTCTATAGAAAGTAGCGCCTTTGGCCAGCACTGAAATTGCACCACTGCAGGGCCGAAGAGTGGGTAATGAGCGCCCTGGGGCAATCTCTAAGTTGTGTGGCGCTCCCTGTTCGAGCACCCAGGGGCAATCTAAGTTACGCCGCCCCCCCACCCCCATTTCAAGATGAATAGACATTGATAGCTGCGACGTGTGTCGGCAGAAAGGCCTTACCCTCTCTTGTCCGGCTTCCTCAGTCAGGCGCCTTTCATATTTGTGGCACCTCGGAATGTCATTCCGTGTCTAGTCTGGTGCCCCCTTGGACTCGTGCACAGGAGCAAGTGCCCCCTTTCTTCCCTCCTCGCTACACCTCTGTGTCTACCATGCTTGAGGAAGGACATTGGGTGGTACTGGGTTAATAGAAACTGCACAGTAGTGGCCCCTCCCCTCTTCAAGTGGTGCCATACCTGCCATAACTTAGATAGGCCTCTGTGACAGACATCTGAACTAATCAATGGTTTGAGAAGTGAGTCTTGCCAACCTAGAATGAACCTAGGAGTGAGGCTGGGCTGAACATACTACGGGCTGTCAGGAATCATTTTGATACTTTCTGCATTATCAGGGGAGCACAGTCAAGTCACACAGTAACCACTGCAGTAATTTCAAATACTTGTGGAACTCCCTCTGTGTGCTAGGTGGTATACTGGGGTGGATACATCTTTCTCAGACATTTTTGCCATACTTTCTGGATGAATACAGCCTTTCAGTTCAGATCACTCTAGGAAGAGTAAATAGTTTTGGCTTAAATGAATGAGCGTAGGACGATTTTCTCAAAAGCTTGAGAAAAAAAAAAACTTTTATAAAGGAATGTAGCATATTCCTTCTGCGCTGGGCATCTGTTATAGATTGAATTATGTCCTCCCAAAGTATGTGTTGTAAATACTAACCTCTGCCTGTGGTTATAACTCCATTTGGGAATGGGTTTTCTTTGTTTTGTTAATGAGGCAGGATTAGTGTAGGGTGTCTTTTGAGTCAGTCTCTTTTGAGCTATAAAAGAGATGAAACAATCCAGCAGAGGAGAAATGGGGGAAGACACATGCCAAGCCACATGAAGATCGCCCAGGAGTAGAAGCACAGAAGAGACAAGGACCTTCCTCCAGAGCCGATGGAGAGACAAAACCTTCCACTAGAGCTGGCACCTTGAGTTCAGACTTCTAGCCTCCTAAACTGTGCGAAAATAAATTTCTGTTTGTTAAAGCCACCCTCTTGTGGTATTTCTATTACAGCAGCACTGGATAACTAAGACAGCATCCTTACCATGGAAACCAAAGACATAGCTGTCTGTCGTATTCCTCCCTCTCACCACTGACTTACCCCTAACCCTGCCTAACCATACACAGGTACCCAGGATAAGGAAAGAGGCAGATGGTCCTCAACCAACTGGAAAGAAAGGAAGGCAAAGGCTTGGTCCTTTCTTCTTGCATCATTTCCTGGATTAGCATTCTTCAAGGCCCACACACAACATTGTTATGGCCTGGAGACAATCTAAAAACATTGACTGAAATATTGCATTACTTTCTACAGAATCGAATAAGTCCATGGTTGGGAAGGAATGAAGGGATATTCAAAACTGTAAAGCTCTCCATAAATGTAAGGTATTATCAAACTTTTTGTTTTTAAAATTCCGTACAGCATTATTTTCCTGAAAGTGTCTACTTTTAAAACTATTTGGAGACACCACCTAAGGTAAGATATGAGCGTCTAGATGAACAACTGTAGTGAGGAAGGAGAAACAAGCGCCTCTGAGAGAACAGGCACTCAGTCATGCTCTATTTCATTTCATGTTGAACAAGTCACATCCCAGAAAACTGAGCCTCATGTCTAGAGAAGGAGAATGCCAGGGACAGGCTGGATTTGAATTGGGATCTCTCCAACACTGAAGCTCATGCCTTTGCCCCCTCTACACTTCTGATTCAGGATGTTACTTCTTTGGCCCATAGTTTCTTCCTCTGTAAAATGAGTGTTATAATGATCTGTGTTTTATAATTGTTGTGAGGAGAAAATGACTCCTAAAAAGTGTTCTGCGCAGTGCCAAGCCCAAAGTAAGCATCCCAGGGCAGTGGTGGTTCAGTGGTAGAATTCTTGCCTTCCATGAGAGAGACCTGGGTTCGGTTCCTGGCCAATGCACCTCATGTGCAGTCACCACCTGTCAGTGGAAGCTTCTTGCATGTTGCTATGATGCTGAACAGATTTCAGCGGATCTTCCAGACTAAAACAGACTAGGAAGAAAGGCCTGGCAATCTACTTCCAAAAATCAGCCACAAGAAACCCCATGGATGACAACAGTCTGATCCCATTGTACATGGGGTTACCATGAGTCAGAACCAACTCAATGGCAGTTAACAACAGTAACATATAG